CCGCCGCCGGAGGGGACCGACTGGGAGGCGCTGAACGAAGCCCAAAGCTGCAGTGCGGAACTCGCTCGGCGGTTCAGCGGACCCCAGCACTCGACACCACACCGGCCTCTCCAGTGACCCCTTCCCGCCCACTGACCTGCCAGGTGGCCCACCTTATTATTGTACTCTTCTACGAAGCTGCCCAGGGCAAGCCGAAAACGCTTGTCGGGCCTGACACTCCAGTTCATGGCGTAGACGGTCCATGGCGCCTCGTACTTGTAGATCTCCTTGCGCTTCCCGTGCAAAGACATGGCGGGCGGGAAGGCTTACTCCGTCAGCCTCTCACGACGTCCTCCCGTGATATCGCTCCCGACAGTCTTTCTTCACCTCACACAACGACGATGGCAAACCCCACTCCTCCATTCACTCTGTTCAAACTCTGATTTCTCATTGGCCCTCGACCACGCCATTCCTCAACCCCTAGCTTTCTCATTGGTTTTCCGATACGTCCACCTCGCTCAACCTCCGAAGGAGATTTACATATTGGCCATCATGAAAATGTCCATTAGCGGTGAAAGTTGTCGTTCTTGGATAAAGCCCGCCTCTCCCATCACATTTGAGCGTATGAAGTATGATTTAGTTAGTCGCCCATAAAAAAAAAAAGACGCTTGGGACATAGAGATAGAAATGTAGAACCGCATTCGAATAGCTAGGAATATGAATTCCTGGATCCCCTGAGCGTCATTTTGGTTTCTTCCGGGTCGTTCAAGGCGACCTAGGAAGTTTCACAGAGAGTCAGAAAGGTGTGCAAGGTTGGCAGTTGTAGTAACGGGTAACAGCGTATTCTTTAGAAAGAAAAAGAGCAGTAACGATAGCAGTTAAGTGGTGTTTTTAATTCAAGTGTAATTTCTTGTGCTTGATGCTGTTATCCTTCTTTTGTTTTAATCTGCATGTGTATCGTCCTTTTTTTGTTGTAAAGGATAAATGACTATGATTATCAGGTATCTATAAACATATCCAAACAATTGTATTGACTATGTATTTGAAGAAGGCACAATGTAGTAATCGCTATTATTCCGGATTGGCCCTATTATGCTCATGTTGGTCCAGGTTCTGATCCGAGGCCTGGTATCCATCACTGGCTAATTTCTGTGCCCCATGGTCTTCACTGGCTCCTAACTAACTGTTTCAACGGTGTTATGTGTCCGTCACGTGGTCTTGTAGTTGTATTGGATTTCTAAAGCGCACACATCCAAAGAAAAGGAGGCAGCAGTTCATACGTACAAAGCCATCATGGTTGTTCCCTTTTGGGGATAAGCACTGTTAGACAAAGCAAAGAAAATGCATAAGAAGGTACCCCTATCAAAATACCTCTAACACCTCATAAGTGTTTGTAACTTTATGCATGAATACATTAAAGAGCACATCACACCATCCTTGTCTTACTCCCTACTCAGTATTGAGTCATCTACTAAACATCCCATTTTCCACTTCTGTTGCATATTACTTTTACCACATTCAGAAACCAACCTTCAGCTCCAGGCTATTCATTTTATCATTTTCTTCATTTCTCATTCATACCCTACTCAGTTATCTGGTGAAGAGCAAAAAATTTGCAATTCCCAATTTTTTCTCATTGTCACTTTTTGTATGCTTCAGAACAGAATTCTGCCAAACAAATTAATCCCTCTGCATTTTTTTCATTCACTCTTGCTATCTTTCCCTTTGTATGAGGAATATTAGTGGCATTCTTTCAATTGTCAAGCCTGATACAGTTTTCACACACATTAATATTTCTCTAATTACCCGATATGTCTTCAGGCTTTCTACTTTTCAACATTTGAATAATATGTATTATTTTCTTTTCATAATTTTTTGTTCTTGGACACTAACATTTGTAGTATTTGTTTCAGTTTCCCTTTTTGACACATCATTATTATGCCCATAGAATCTCTACAATACTACTTCATGCATTCTCTTTTTATTTTTAAATCAACATGCTTTTTGATCCATTCCTTTTCCATGGAATGTATAAATAGATTTGTACTTAAACCACATATTTGAAACGGACTTTTTTGTAAACAGATGCTCACAAAAGAGCCAGTATTTGCATTCATTCTTGGGTCTCTGAGTGATACAATCACTTCTTCTATACTATCTCATTCTGTGCCTACCCATCCATTCATTTCATATAACAGAATACTTTTTCTCTTGCCCAAATTCATCCCTGGTTCTTCCATTATCACCATTCATTGGAATGTAACAGACAGCTATCATCAAACTATGGTTTCTCACTTTTGTTTGCACCCACAACAATCTAAATGACTCAAGTTCAAATTGTATGATATCCATTTTAGACCATTCGTGATTAAACCTATACCTTCGCTTCCTTGCATGTATTTGTCAAGTCAACTCCATAAGATCAGACAACCTTTATTCAAATTACTAATCCTCCCCCTTTCTTAGTTTCAAAGATATACAACATGTATTTTTTTTCCTGTCCTTAATTTATTTAATTTCATGCTATTTACCATATACACGTTTTACATTCCTAGTCACAATTTTCCATATGCCGTGGTCATCATCACATCAGCCTGTAGAAATTAATCCCAACCATCCATCGTGGCATTGGTCAATCAAGGCTTTCACATAATGTTTTCTAGTAAGATATAGGAGATGTAGATTAGATTATAAATCTTAGCTGCACCCATGTCACGCATATAGGACCTGGGTTGGGAAAAGCTCTAGTGGAATAATATAACTAGCTGATCTTTGGAACAACCTCTGATGTATTTTATTTGGTTATATCTTTAGGGAAGGATGGAAATATGAATCAGTCAATTATGACTGAAATTTATGAGTGCAAGGAGAAGGAATTCCTTGAGCCACACCATTTTAATAAGCAGGTCACACATTTGGTTATAGCAGTAGAAATAGTGTGGTAAATTCCTTGCTTTCAAAATTTTCCCCTCCCCTACTTCCTCTCTGTCCATATAGGAAAGAGGGATGAGGTGGGAGTTGAGAGTCTGAGTTTCTTCTGATAGAAACAACAGTAACCTTGCTCCAAACTAGAAGGCACAGAACAAGAATTCCATAAAATAATAGAAAGGGTGTCTGGAACCTTTGCCCACCATTGACTGGAGCTGCAATGGTATATTTAGAACTGGAGACAGAGTCATATTCTAACCAGCTGGACATTCCTTTGTTATCAGTTTAGAGAATAGCCTCCTCATGGATTCACATAGGAGCCATGAGTAAGTGACTAGTAAAATCTCTGCAATAGGAACTTGAGAGATGAATTGAATTCTAAAGGGAAAAAACAATCCAGTTGCTGAGATTTCTGTAACCCTCTCCTCTCCTCTCCTCTCCTCTCCTCTCCTCTCCTCTCCTCTCCTCTCCTCTTCAAATTTTTTTAGA